TACATGCACATAACACAATCCAGTCAATTTCATCCCCTAGTAGCTCCCCTTTCTCTCCCTTCCCCTGGTTTGCTTCCTCTACTCTATTGGTCTCCTATTTTCACGAGATTCCTCCCTCCTCTGTTTTCTCTTTAGCTTCTACATATGAGAGAAAACATATGATCCTTGACTTTCCATTTCTTGCTTATTTTGCTTAAAGCTCTCATGTTTGTTTATTTATTTATTTTTGTGGTATCATGTGTTGTGGTTTGGATGTCAGGGTTCCCCCAAAGCTCATGTGTGAGACAATGCAAGAGATTTGGTGAAGAAATGATTAAGCCATAACCTTAATCTAATCAATAAAATGATCCCTGATGGGATTAACTGGGTAGTGACTGSAGGCAGGTGGGGTGTGGCTGGAGCAAGTGGCTCATTGGGGCATGGCTATGGGGTAGATATTTTGTACCTGGAGAGTGGATTCTCTCTCTCTGCTGCCTGATCACCAGGTGAGCTGCTTCCCTCTGCCACACTCTTCTGTCATGAAGTCCTGCCTCATATTCAGCGCTGAGGAATGGAGCCTGCTGTCTGTRGATATGAAACCCTGAGCCCCTTAATAAACTTTTCCTCCACTACAGTTTTTCTGGTTGGGTCCTTTAGTCACAGCAGTGAAAAAGCTGACTAAAACATTGGGGATCAGACATGCCGGGCAAATGCTCTACCACTGAGCTGCACCCCAGCCCAATCTGTCCTTTCTTCTAACAAAAGTTTACACACCCCGGAACTCCTGGAGCTCTTTCCCTCTCAAAAATTGTTGATGAGCAGAAGTTGGATTCCATTTTATTCAGTTCAGCTTTCTACAGCTTGTTCTGTGAAACAAAATTAAGACTTAAGATAAAAGAAGCACACTCAGGRTTAAAACAATGAATTCTGGAGTCAGACAAGTCCAGGGCTCCAGTGACCTTAGATAAATTTTTTACATTTCTTTTTAAAATTTTTTTTTAAGTTATAGATGGACACAATATCTTTATTTTGTTTTTATTTATTTATTTTTATGTGGTCCTGAGGATCAAACCCAGGGCCCCAAATGTGCAAGACAAGCACTTTGCCACTGAGCCACAACTCCAGCCCTAAATTTCTTACATTTCTTCATCTTGGTTTCCTCATCYGTTAAATAGTAATAATAACGCTTACCTGAATGGGTTTTGTGAAGATTAAATTACATAACTGATGTTACCAATTMGTCAAGTAATTTAAGAGTTCTTATTCCTGTATTATAGGGCAATATGAGGTACTCAGGGAAATACAAAGTCTGAGACCATTCCTGTTCTGTAGGTGGTTAAATACCCCCAAGAGACAGATGTCCCTATACAAATGAGAACATAGCAAACAAGTTCATAATTCTCCTTGCAAGGGAATCCCCAAATACAATATTTTAGGATATTATATGACTATCAAACAAATTTGGTTTTTAAAAAGTTTATCTAAATGGGCGAATTTTATGGTATGGTGAATTGTATCTCAATGAAGATGTTGACATCATTATTTTGGTGTGTGATATCACCTGAAAGAAAGGGTCATAGGAGTATTTTAACACAAAATATACTGATACAGAATGGAAATGAACATTGCAGAGGAGATTTTCTAAATGAGCTTATTTGAGTCATACGAAATTCAATCTGGTTCCTAAAGTTATTGAATTACTTGGAGACTTACTTTTAATGTGTGATTAATAAAATGATGCCCACATAGGACTTTCAAATATTAAATACTATGACTAAAATAATGAATTCTTTAATTTTTCCTATAAACCATTGGGAGAAAAAGAATTTTATTTGTTTTGGGAAGAAAAAGCAGCAGTTTCTTTCTTAATGCAGCACAATGSTTTTCAAGATCCAAATAACATTTCACTTTCTCTAGAAAATTGCTTCCTGGATCAMTCCTGCCCTCGCTGGTGATGATCCTAGCTTCCATTTATTGGACACTCTGATACTCCGGGGAATGTTAAGCATTTCACAGACCTGACCGGATTGGTTTTTTTTGTCAACAGCTTGTGAAAGAAATGTTGTTAGTTCCATTTAACTGATGAAGAAACCGAGATAGGTGCCATGATCTGGATCTGGAATGTCTCCCGAAGGTCTGTGTGTTAAAGGTCGGTATCCAGTTCCACACGTGGTGGAATTTTTAGGAGGTGACGTCTAATGGAAGGAAGTCAGGTCCTTGGGCCGTGGCTTTAAAGGGAATATTTGGATCCCAGCACTGTCCTCTCTCTCTGGCACACTCCTGCCCTGGTGTAGTGTGCTTCCGCAGGCCCAGAGGAATGGAAAGGCCACAGAACCATGAGACCACGGTCTAAAACCTCTGAAACTGTGAGCCAAAAGAACCCTTCCTTCTTTTAAGTTGATTCCCTCAGGTATTTTGTCACAGTGACACAAAGCTGATTAACACAACAGGCGACTTAAGCAATTTGTCCAGGTCACACGGCTAGTTAATTGTTCAAAGCTGGAGCTGCCAGGTTATAAACCTGTTAATACTACACCATGCAGATCCTTTCTTGTACCTTGTTCCTGGTGTAYATGCCACAAAGAGGAAAGAATGATCGATTGGTATAATCAGTCTTTTCTCGGAGAATTCCTAAAGAAGAGGTGACAAGCTAAAGCTATAYTTCTGGCAGGAGATCTGAATTAGTTTTTCTTCAGTAATAATAACATTCTGAGGCACAATTGCAGCGAATTATGTAATGAAAGGGGTTCCTTTCATTATATAAAGTAAGAATACACTTCATTATCAGTGACTAGAACATTAACAACATTGACAGAAGAGCTCAACACTGAGGAGTTTAAATCATTGAGTAGGTATCTGGAAATGCTCTTCATTTATTGAGGACAGTTTTGGTTTTTAAAATTAATTAATTAATTAATTCTAATTAGGTATATATGACAAGCAGGATGCATTTTGACTCATGGTTCACAACTGCAGCATAGCTTTTCATTTCTCTGCTTGTACATGATGCAGTGTGCAGTCATACACGTACCTGCCCCATGTGCAGTCATACACGTACCTAGGGTAGTGACGTCCATCTCATTCCACCATCTTTCCTGCCCCGMCTCCCCTCTCCCCACCCCTCCCTTCCTTTTGGAGAAGAGTTTTTGATGAGTCCATATTCTTAATGTTTTATATTTAATTGATTAATTTTTTTCAGTGATTTTTGTATTGAGCACCTACTATATGCCAGGTGCTGTTCTAGACATCTGAGATATATCAGAAGGCATAATAGACAAAAATATCTGCCTTTAGGGAAAATAAAAATGGAAAAATAAAACATGTATTAAAAAAAACAAACAAGAAAGACCAATGATAAAGAAAATTCATGGCTTTATGGAGTTTATATATCAACAGGAGAAGACAGAAAATATGTCAGATGATGCTAAATGATATGAATAAATATAACAAAGGGCAAGGGTGGTGTTCAAGACTGTGTGTAGACAGGGGATCAAGGAAAGCCTCTAGGAGGTATTAGCATTTAAGTAGAAACTTGAATGAAGTGAGAGACTTAGAGAGTACCTGTGTGGCTATCTGGGAGAAGGTCATTGTAGGCACAGGAAGAACAAGTACAAAGGCCCTGAGGTTGAGGTGTCACAGGAAAAGCTGGAAAGTCCGCATGGCTGGAGCAGAGAGCAGGGAGGTAAGTGGTGGTGGAAGGGGTCAGAGAATAAGCCAGGCCTAGGTTGTGACAGATGGTGGCTTTTTCTCTGAAGAAAGGAGACCAGTTAGGAAACACTGAAATGATCAGTTGAGAAATGATGGCAGTGGAGGGCAGGAGAATTGGTTGGATATTGGACATATTCTGAAAGTAAAGCTGACGGGACTTTCTGATGGATTGGAATGTGGGGCATAAGAGATTGGGTGCGAGGTGAGAGAAATATTTGTGTTAAAGTGCTTGTTGATTAACTTCAGAGGCTGCGGTGGGGAGCCCTCAAAGTCCTCCTYAGGCTTTGGTTGTGGTGTATGGAGACCATTTGACCTTGAGGTTAAGTCAACAGGAGTTGCTAAACATCTGACTACTAAGTATAGGACGGAATCCTGGTGACCCCTCTGCCCAGGCTGATCTTATCTGGGAGTGACTGCCAAGCCAAACAGCAGTTGTGGGAAAAGAACAAGGGTCCTTTCTAATGATCTACTTCCAGTTTGATAAGGAGAGGACCAACCTGAAGGTCTTCTCACGAATCTTCCATAGAGTCTCAGGAAGTTTTAGGTCTGGGAGTATAAGACTCAGCTTTAGTTCTTCCTTAGGTTTTAACATTTTTCTCTCCTTTCCCCCCTTCCTTTCTCACTCTCTCCTTGGCCCAACTTCTTGGCTGCAGGAAGAGATCCTCTACTGGTTCCCATATCTCAGTGTGCATGGGCATTCCCCGGAGGGCCTACACCACGGAGCTACACCCCCAGCCCCTTCTTTTATTTTGAGGCAGGGTCCAACTAAGTTATCMGAGTTGAACCTTAAATCTGCGGTTCTCCTGCCTCAGCCTCCCSAGTGCGTGGGATTTCAGGCGTGGGCCACCGCACATGCTCCCTTGGAGCAGATCCTGGAGTCCCACTCCCAGAAGTTTTAATTAGACTGAAGTGTGGGCATGTGTTTAGGGGGCTGGAGAGGGAGGGTGCTGAGGATCTCAGGTGGGTCTTGAGAACCGGTACTTCAACAAGAAGGGTGAGAAAGCAAGGGAATCTGGCCTCCTCCTGGTTCCAGGTGAGTGGGGAAGGTTCCAGATCAGGGAGCACGACAGTCAACTGGGAAATGGTCCACTTCCTCCAGGACGTCTCTGGGCTGCCCCCAAACTGGTGAAAACAAGCGAAAGTCGGCAATGAGTAGGAGCGGGCAGTCCTTCGGGGTTAGACAGCCCCTGGGGGCTGGGAAGTGAGGCGAGGGCGGGTAGACAGGCCGAGGCCAGCCCRCAGATCCTCAGAGGGCGCGGACCCGGAGGAGGCGCCCTAGAAGGCGACGCCTCTTGGAGGAAGTTTGCCCTTAATTACGGAGCCGGGTTCCCGGTCGCATCAACCTTCAGGAGCGAGCAGCGCGCGCAGTCCGGAGCGGCCAGTCCTGTCCGGGACTCGGGCTGGGAAGTTGCCGCGCTCTGCACGCCCGACACAGYCACCATGGGCGGCTCGGCCTCCAGCCAGCTGGACGAGGGCAAGTGCGCCTACATTAGAGGTACGCCCGATCGCCGGGGTCCCGGGGCCAGGGTGGTCGCTGGGCACCCGCCCCAGGGTGCAGGGGCAAGCCGGGGCCAGCGGGGTCCCGGGGGCCCACCTGCGCCACGCCAGGTTTCCTATTATAGGCAGGAGAGCAGCTTGCAGAGCGCACCCGCCGGGGTGGGGACCTGGGATGGTCACCGTCTGGGAAGCACAGGCAGACGCTGGGGAGAGGGGCAGGTGCAGGATGCCAGGAGGAGATGACTACTCCTCCGCTCCTCCCGCCCACYCGGGGGTCATTTCGGTCCCCTCCCGGAAACATCTGGCCTTCTGGTACCTGGAGCTGGATTGAGTTCTGAACTTGGCCGCAAAGAAAAGAGCGGGGATATCCCTGGTTGTTAGAGGTTTCCCTGGGGATTCCCGGCCTGAGAAGCAGAATTTCCCTCGGTGTGATGTTGGCTGGGTTTTGTAAAATGCAGCCGCGGCCACGGCTTCACTTGGACTTCATTGTCGCCTGCAGGATCATTTCATCAGAAGCAGAAAAGACCATGTCATTACGTTCCCAGGTTGCACGGTCCCCTTCCCTCCCCAGAGACGGGAGGAAAGCAAATGAGGAACCCTGGCATGTTTTGTAAGAGTTGCTAAAGTTACAGATGGAGAGAAGCTCATTTGGGGAGATGGTCAGAGATAAAGCGACTTGGTAAAGTGAAAGAGGCAGAAGAAACCAAAAACCAAACCGAACTGAAACGGCAGGAAGTGATGAGCCTTTATCTCCTGGTGTATTAGGTCTCCCCCCCAGCCTAACCTTGCCCTCAACCATTACCTAGTTTCATGATCTTGTAAATTTAGGAGTCTCTGTGTGTGTGGAAGGTGGGGGGGATAGGTGTATTTCCTGGCTTCAGAAATCTTTTTAATACCTAGTTTATTAAACCCTTAAATTTTACCTTAATTCTTCCCAATACCTCTTTCTGGTCCTAGACACTTATTTGGTGGTTTTGTTTTGTTTTGGTACCAGGGATTGAACTCAGGGGCACTCCACCACTGAGCCACACCCCCCAGCCCTATTTTGTATTTTATGTAGAGACAGGGTCTCACTGAGTTGCTTAGTGCCTCGCTCTCTGCGATCCTCCTGTCTCTGCCTCCTGAGCTGCTGGGATTACAGGCCTGTGCCATCGCGCCTGGTCTTTATTTGGTGTTCTTATTCCATATTTGTTTTCTGTGGCCACAACATTTAAAATCACTTTAAAAGGATATCAGATCAGGGCACTCGAAGGGCAGTGTACTGTAATTGATTTTCCAGATTCTTGCTCTGGTGCTTTTGAAGGTAGAAGATCATCAACAATCTGTACTGTCAGGGAAGAAAAGGTGATCACATATCCCTTTGCTGTTGTTTATTAAAAGGGGCAAAAGATGGAYGTTTTGTTTAGTTAAACTAAGCCCGCCTGGAAAGTTTGGCAGTTTGCTTGTTTTCACCCGTGGGTGGGGCAGAAAGGTGCAGCAGAACAGTAAAGAAGGACTTGTATTTGGTTCTTAGCAACATTAAATTTATGGCCTCTGTAAGACTTTGTTTCACTGGAAAGTTTCAAAGCACCTGAAGTTGAAACAAAGCAATGTATAGTAATCATCTGAAATTCAGCAATATGAAGATAAACTTGCTTGAAGACTTCAAGGTCATGAGAGCTATTGTGACTGATGCAGGTATCGCACTCATATAAGAAAATGTTTTCTTCTTTATTCTGAAATAAATTATTACACATACAAAAGTACAGGGTACATTTGAAGGACTTGTCATGGATGCATTTGGATGAGTAAAATTGTAGCAGATTATGCCATAGCCTGGTTCAATTTTGTTTCTTCTTTCTCTTTTTGGAAGGGACTTTCAAGTATGTGTCATGGAGGAGGGGAGAAAAGAGTTAAAAAGTTAGAATACCTCCAGATAAAATGAGACATGGCTTCAWGTGAGAACACTAGTCTTGCCAAAAAAGAAAAGAACCTTGGAAAAATGCACTGTGTTGTGAATTGTTCTTGCGTGAGCAAATGCAGATCACGGGGCTGGGAGTTCTTGGTGGTTTTGAAGCCTCCAGTCCCTGAACAAAACCATGACCCTGTCTTTACCCTTCGCCCATCCCTTAGCCTATAAACATTCTCAAGCTTCGATTTAGTTGTAGGCAAACAATGGTAGGTATGACTGCAAAGTTTAAATACAGTTTTATGAACTGTTTCTCATAAAGAAGCCACCAGTGAAATATGAATTTGAAAGCTCCTGTAGCCCAGACAATAAGTTTTTTTTTTCAAGCCTGAAACATTTTGTTAATATGGGGAATGACCAGTCCATATATTTTTTTGAGTTTTGTTAACTTTATTTCATATGTATTTTAAGCATCTGTACTTCCAATATGCTAATGAGTCAATCCGTTGTTTCCTCTCAGATAAGTCCTTTAACAGCTGCAGTTTATTGTGTGCCTTAAAACTTTGTGTTCACTGTGATCTGTGTCATGTGGCTGTTTTGAAAACACATCATTTATTTGGATTTAGTCAGTCTCTAGGTAAAGAGATATGAGATGCATTGGGAAGTTACTTCATTTGTGAAAGTGTCAGTTTTGAAGATGACAACACCTATGTTTCTTAAAATGGACTACATTTTAGTATGGTTTCTAGAGGACTTTCAGTAATTTCCCATGATACAGTGTTTCTGTTAATAAATAATACCGAGACCAACTTGTCTTCAGTGTCATCATTTAGCCTTTAGTGATGCTTTTGGCACTAATCTACAAGGATTTTCCTTTTGTGAGGAACAAAACTCATCTAATCTAGGCATTAATGGTCAATTTAAGGTGTCTTTTTCTTTTTATGCCATATTTTTTTTTCCTTTCAAAACTTTTGGRCTGGGGTTGTGGCTCAGTGGTAGAGCGCTTGTCTAGCACGGGTGAGGCCCTGGGTTCGATCTCCAACACCACATATAAATAAATATAGATAGATAGATAGATAGATAGATAGATAGTTATTGTGTCCAACTACAGCTGAAAAATAAATACTAAAAAAATTCTCTCTCTAAAAAAAAAAAAAAAAACTTTGACATGGCTAATATTGAACTTTAGCTAAAAACAAAACAAAGCAAGCAAACAAACAAAAAACCAGGAACAAAACAAAATGAAAACACAAGTTCCCAAAGTACAATGTGTTTTCCTGTTYAAAGCAATGATTTTATTTCCTTTTAAAAATCACTATTGAATTTTTAATGAATCAAAAAGAAAACAAACCTGAAACTCTCCCATGTAAGGAGTCCTGTAGAAAATCACGAAAGTACTGGAAAATCAGTGCTGCGGCTGAGAATGGGGACACATAGGTGCTGGGGGAGTGCTGGGGGGGGGGCCTTCTAGGCCTGCTGGCACCAATAGTTTGGAAAATCTTTTTTTGTTTTTTCCCTCTTTAATTCTCTACTCCACTGTCAGTGACAGTCTGTAAAGGGCCCAGGGGTTTATTTGGAAATGCTCATCAACCATCTGATGTTTATAAAGTCAGAATTGAGTTTCAGCTTGAGGCAGCACACGTTTCTCTTAGGGGAGTGCTCCCATAGTGACACCCGTGTTGGTGGCTTTATGCTGATAAGTATCTGAGGTGGAGTCTCACTGGCAATGTAGAGGACGGGAAAGCCTGACCCATTTGCAGTCTACCAATGCAAGTGCGTAGCTCTAGGTCACACTTTTACTACTTCTTCTGCATAATTTGCTGATGGGAGATGGGTGTAAGAACTGGTCTGGTTTATTGAGCTAATCCTTTTGACGGTCACCGTGGGGTCCAAGTTACCTGGCTAGTAGCAATGGCAGTAGGCTGTGATGGAAACGTTAGGATGCGGAGTATGGTAGTCTTTGTGGGATGCCAACCCAGCTTGCTTTCCCCATTCCTCTTCCTAACAGAGTCCCATTTGGCACTGTTTTGGAGAGCCTATCTTCATGTATGGCCCCGGTAGGGTGGTGCTGATTGGTTTGGATTTCATTGCACTTGAATGAGAGGTGTGAGTTGCTGTTTTTTCTTGAAGAAAAGAGGGAGCTAGCCTAAAGACAAAGGCATTACTGGACAAAGGTAATACTTGGAGCTCTGCAAATCGGAAGGAGCTTCTACATAGCCATCTTGGATCATGAAGCAACTTTTTAAAGTGTTTGTGCAGAGTGGAGTAACTGCACAAAAGGGGCTCAGGCTCCTGTGGCGTTCACACGGTAGAACCCCCATAATGAGTTCTGGAGTACCTACCTCTGGACCTTAATAAGTTATTTGTATTATTACTCTTATCCACAGGCAAACTTTATCTGTTCTTTGTGGCCAAAAGTATTGTAGCCAATGTATTAAATGCCATCCTATTTTCTCTTTTAAGAAAAATTAATCCAAAGAAARTAGAAAGCAAATAATGATTCTACCATTAGTATTTGTCTTAGGTTCTAATTTATAGAAATGAGTGGACTCTTCTGAGAAGCAAGGAGTTACAGCTCTTCTGGTGAGAGTTAGGGGGCTGGGTAGGGGAAAGAGGAGGGAGAGGGTCCATTATATTACTTTATATTCTTGTGTGTGTGTGTGTGTGTGTGTGTGTGTGTGTGTGTGTGTAGTTCTGAGGATTGAACCCAGGCCCTTGTGCATGTGAGTTAGGCACTCTCCCAACTGAGCTGTATCCCCATTTTAAAAACAGAATATATTCTGATTTTAAAAATGTCTTCAAGCATCCCAAACTACTGATGAAACTACTAGGAGTTTTGAATCAGGAACACTGCTGCAGACTGGGAATTTCCAGGGTCAGCTATTACCTTCTACTTCCTTCAGTCTTCATGAACGGAAACCAAGATTTTGGGAAGGAATGCTCTTTAGAAAGCACCAAATCTAATGTTGGAAAACCATAAAAGATTTTGTGAATGGAGAGGGGTTTTTTGGATTGAATCAAAAAGGAAGTAAAGACAGCAGATTGAGACAAATGAACATTTTCTCCTGTCCTTGTGGAGGAAACAGTGAATTCTAATACAACCTTTGGTG